TATGCTTTCGNTTTTTTTAAAGTGCTTATAAGAGTTCATATTTAAAAAATCACTCCAATCACACTTTTTAGGGAAATGTTTTCCCTATTCAATTTGGAGAGTTAATATTAGTTGTTGGATTAATTTTAAAGTAAAATTTAAAACGATTTCAAACGCAAAAAATAATTTTTTTTTTTATGTTGTATTTTATTATATAGATTATACTCATCCGTTGGCGAGGTCCAATTTCATAGGCAACATGTTATATCTCATAGACAGCATGTCATATCTCTTCCTACTGTGCATCGAAACTAGTTCTCTTATTTTCTATTTTTTATTTTTAGTTCAATAGTTTGGGATATTTAGAGTGTCTGGGTCAGTTTGCACATACCTCTCGACTAGTATTCTTTCTTGCCCATTTAAAGACTGAGCTACCCTTTGATTCATTCCCCTCGTTAACATCCCCCACAAACCAACCCCCTCATTTTCCACTACATATTCAATTATCTATATTCCTCCCCTTTTTTCATCCGACTTTGAGACAAATTACACTTTTAATCCCTTATGAACTTGAATTTACTTTACCCCTTAAACTATTAAATTTCTTATGTGGTCCCCTTAACTATTTAAATTATTTCAAGTTGTTCCAAATGCAAACATTCATTATCTTTTTGCCCTCAAATACAACTGCCAAATAAATAATAGCTGAGTGGACAATATAAAAAAAAGGGTTGTAATTGAGGGGTTCAAAGCATAATTTTCGTTCAATTTTATACCGTCAATTCCCTTGCACCTTGTTCTAGACTTGCGCTTAGTCATCTGAGCCCGAAACCACCTCTCAAATGAGTCATTGCTGATAATCCTCCATCCACCGGTGATGAGAACCCTAAACCCGTCTTTATTTTGGTATATTCGCTTCATAAACAACCCTAAATTAAACATATTGTTCTTAAAAATACAACATTAAGGGTTGAAATGACATTGAAAGCACAAATAACCTTCCGGCTGTCAAATTTGTGTGCTCTCTTTGTCCATTAGTTTAGAATGGAATGAAATATTTTGAAAAGACCAATGAATGCAGGTTTTGTTCGCCTCATAAAGATTAACTTATTAAATCATCAAGTCATTGAGATCGTATTCACTGTCGAAATTGATATTTATGATAGTATCACNGTGGTGGTGGTGGCAACCATGTGTGACAACGGTAATGGTGGTGATAGGTTTTGGGTGACGATAATGGTAGTGACAATCATGGGTGACGGTGGTGGTGGTGGGTAACGATGATGATGGTTGGAAGTGGTGGCAGTTGTGGGTTATGGTGGTGGGCGGTAATGATGGTGATGGTGGGTGTCAGTGGTGGTGGGCAACGACAGGTGCATGTAGGCAACGATAGTGGTGGGTGGTGGCGAATGACAGTGGTGTGTGACAGTGGGTGGTGGAGATTATGGACGATGACGAGTGGTGGTAGGTTGTGGTTGTAGGTGGCGGTGGATGACAGTGGTGGTGGAATGATAGTGGTAGTTGTAATAAATATAAGAATGAGATAATGATGGTGGTGGGTGGTGGCGATGGGCGGCGGTGGTAGCAATAGGTAGTGGTGGTGGTAGTGACGATGTTGGTGGCATGGTGGGGGTGGCAGCGGCAGTGGTAGTGATAGTAAAGTATTTTGTAGAGAAATTATTTTCAAGAAGTGGAAGTTATTTATTTATTTGTTTTTTACGTACTTACTAATTTAAGGAGTAAAACTATTTTTGACTTATTTGAAAGTAATTAAAATAAGTTGTTTCAAATACTATTTTTTTTTAAAGTGCTTATAAGAAGTCATATTTAAAAAATCACTCCAATCACACTTTTTAGGAAAATGTTTTCCCTATTCAATTTGGAGAGTTAATATTAGTTGTCGGATTAATTTAAAAGTAAAATTTAAAACGATTTCAAACGCAAAAAAAAATTTTTTTTTTTATGTTGTATTTTATTATATTCCGTTGGCGAGGTCCAATTTCATAGGCAACATGTTATATCTCATAGACAGCATGTCATATCTCTTCCTACTGTGCATCGAAACTAGTTCTCTTATTTTCTATTTTTTATTTTTAGTTCAATAGTTTGGGATATTTAGAGTGTCTGGGTCAGTTTGCACATACCTCGACTAGTATTCTTTCTTGCCCATTTAAAGACTGAGCTACCCTTTGATTCATTCCCCTCGTTAACATCCCCCACAAACCAACCCCCTCCTTTTCCACTACATATTCAATTATCTATATTCCTCCCCTTTTTTCATCCGATTTTGAGACAAATTACACTTTTAATCCCTTATGAACTTGAATTTACTTTACCCCTTAAACTATTAAATTTCTTATGTGGTCCCCTTAAGTATTTAAATTATTTCAAGTTGTTCCAAATGCAAACATTCATTATCTTTTTGCCCTCAAATACAACTGCCAAATAAATAATAGCTGAGTGGACAATATAAAAAAAAGGGTTGTAATTGAGGGGTTCAAAGCATAATTTTCGTTCAATTTTATACCGTCAATTCCCTTGCACCTTGTTCTAGACTTGCGCTTAGTCATCTGAGCCCGAAACCACCTCTCAAATGAGTCATTGCTGATAATCCTCCATCCACCGGTGATGAGAACCCTAAACCCGTCTTTATTTTGGTATATTCGCTTCATAAACAACCCTAAATTAAACATATTGTTCTTAAAAATACAACATTAAGGGTTGAAATGACATTGAAAGCACAAATAACCTTCCGGCTGTCAAATTTGTGTGCTCTCTTTGTCCATTAGTTTAGAATGGAATGAAATATTTTGAAAAGACCAATGAATGCAGGTTTTGTTCGCCTCATAAAGATTAACTTATTAAATCATCAAGTCATTGAGATCGTATTCACTGTCGAAATTGATATTTATGATAGTATCACGTGAAAGTAATACTTACGACAACAATTTATTTGTAATCATTGCATCATGTAATGCAAAGAGAAAATAAGTGGATCATGACATTGTCATAAATTAATTTTACGATGCCAAGTAAGAATCAATTTTTGTATTCTATGGCCTAAACTAGTTTTTGCAATTCATATCATAAAAAAGTTAATTTTATAAGTTCTATAAAATTAAAAATTTGGCATTAAAAATACTAATTTAATAATCTTATAGAATAACATTTTTAATTGTGTGGTTACTTTTTTCAGGCCCCTCTTGATAAAAATCTGGTTTTGTGTGTAACCAACTAAATTAATATATTCCTTCAAAAAAAATTAAAATTAATATTAAAATCAAAATCAAAATCAAAATCATAATCATAATCATAATCAGTCGAACAATCCCAAATCAAACACAATTCTAAACCCCCCAATCTTGGGCCCAAAAGATCTTTTTGTTCCGTGGGATCTTTTTGTTCCTTTTCCTTCAATGTTTTTGTGCTCCTGTCGTTGTGGTGGTAGTGTTGTCGTGTTGTGTGGGGGTGGTCAAAGAGTTGTTGGGTGGTGGCCGTTTGGGTTGTTACTATGGGGTCTTCTTGTCTTTTGTACGTAAGTGTGATTTTATAGATATTGGGCTTGTACCGATATTTTGTAGCGTATAATTAAGAAGGGCACATGGTGAGTCAACCATTTAAGTGTGTTTTGCTAAACTCTGCTCTCGTTTGAAAATCACAATGGCTCGTTTAGTAGACGTGTTAAATATTAGATTGTATTATTTTTTATTTAATCCTGTCTAATACTTTGTTTGATAAGTAAATTTGATATCGTATTAATTTTAAAAATATATATTAATCGTATACATATCGTATATTTTTTATACGATTGAAAACGTATATGTTTCGTATATTTTTTATACGATTGACCTGTATTATAGTGGTCTTTTAATATCACCAAGAGAGGTGTTATTATAATTCAACTCAAACGTATTATTCTACACATTTACTATTATAACCTCCAAGTGATAAAATCAAATTGTCATTAATGTAACAAACATTGATGAAATATATTTTTGTTAATTCAACTTTAATATGATGAAATAATTTTCTAACCAAACAACTGATTTGATTAAATAACTACTATCAAATGCTTATATTATATATTACCAAACACTAGATAAAATTACGTATTATTCAAAGATCATATTTAATCTTGTTTTTTATCCATTTGTATTGTATTAGACTGTATTACTTTATTCAATCCATCCATTTTTAATACCGCAACCAAACGAGCCAACATGTACATGTATGTGTGTGGGTTGAATAGCAGGTGGTCAGGGAAGAGGGTTGCGTTTTCAATGGTGTTGTGTGGTGGCTACACAATGATGTGCTGGTGGTTGTGGTTGATGTGGGTTGTGGCTGTTAGGAAGAGGACAGAGCAGTTGTCGGAGAAGGGAATTAGGGAAGAGCATGCAGTTGCTAAAGAAGGGGGGTAGGTGTGTTTGAAAGTATAATTAATGTTAATTGGATATATAACATTAAAATTGGAATTAACGTTAAGTTTATAATCCATTTGAAAAGGGTTGTTCAGGAGAAATTAGTGCAATTCTAGAAACATAGGGCATTAGTTGGTTGGTGTCCTCATTTTTTGGTAGGCTTCTTAACGCCCGTTACAGCTAGGGAGTGTTTTTTATGGAAGTTGTAAATGTCAAGGAGTCGTCATGTTATTTTTGTAATGTCAGGAGGTATTCGTGTCATTTGGTTAAATGCTAGGGGTCTGCGTGAAATTTTTTCANCCGATTGTAAGTCATGAATCTTGATGCAAGATGTCAAAGGATAATCATCGACTGTCTCCATAGACAATANAGATATTTTGTAGCGTATAATTAAGAAGGGCACATGGTGAGTCAACCATTTAAGTGTGTTTTGCTAAACTCTGCTCTCGTTTGAAAATCACAATGGCTCGTTTAGTAGACGTGTTAAATATTAGATTGTGTTATTTTTTATTTAATCCGGCCTAATACTTTGTTTGGTAAGTAAATTTGATATCGTATTAATTTTAAAAACATATATTAATCGTATACNAAGGAACCGAGAGATCAATTTGTCTGCCTGGCGCAGAACAATTGAATAACGAGTAATCACCCAAGTATATTTCATTGAACTGGAAAGGAGAGGCAGACAAGTTNATAAGTAAATTTGATATCGTATTAATTTTAAAAATATATATTAATCGTATACATATCGTATATTTTTTATACGATTGAAAACGTATATGTTTCGTATATTTTTTATACGATTGACCTGTATTATAGTGGTCTTTTAATATCACCAAGAGAGGTGTTATTATAATTCAACTCAAACGTATTATTCTACACATTTACTATTATAACCTCCAAGTGATAAAATTNTCAAGGACTGTTTGTTTGTTCTTATCACAGGATAGCTCGAACCCAGGATAGCGGTAGCGATCTGGGTGGAAAGCTTTAACCCAGAATGGAAATCTGATTGATGGCCCATTGTGACGGCACCTCTCACCTTCTTGAGCTGCTTCAAGGTTTGGAGGAAGGAACACTAAGAGCAAGAAGTGAATAAGAAAAAGCAAGCTGCTGGCCATTTCAAAGTGCCTACCTACTGTGTCCTCAATGTCTTGCTATCTCTATTGATTTAAGTAGATTCGGCAAATGGTATTCTACAATAGCTGTCAGTGTTCTTTGCGTAGTTTTTGTATCCTGCCATTTTATACCTCAATAGAATAATAACTATTTTGATATGATTTTTAAATTCCTGTCCTTTTTATATTGCATTGAATTAGCAAGTTGTGTGATTTTTAAATCCATATCAAATTTATTTTAAATTTAAAAATATTGTGTAAGTTATCTCAATGTTGTTTCGTTGAAAAGTATAACTCAATGGAATAATAACTAATTTTAGTTTGATTTTTAAATTTATGTCCTCTTATATTGCACAGTGCTAATAAATTGTGTGATTTTTGAATCCACATTGAGATTTCTCATCAACCTCCAATAGAAGGTTACAGGCCATGAAAACTGAAAACCTCACTAACTGTCCACAATATAGGCTATTCTTGAATTGCCTAAATCTTCTCCCAATACATTTAAATTCGCTTAGCAAACAGAGCATTTTTTTACAAAGTTGCAAAAACTGCCTTAAAATGTTTCAAATGTTCACTTTCATTGTTGCAATTGACAATTCAATATAAATTAGAAGGAATCCTTAGGGGTGTATGAGAATTTAGAAATTTGGCAATTAATTCAATATATAAATTAAAATTGATAATTCAAAAAAATTAAACTTACTAATTTAGATAAATATAAATTAAAATTGATAATTCAACATAAATTAAACTTACTGATTTAGATAAATCCTACTACTGAAAAATAATTAAAATATCTTTCAATTAATTATTCATCAAAGAGAAGTGAGAATCGTGTTACTTATTATAAGTTACAAGAAGTTTCGTATTTGACTAATCAGATTTCGTTGATTGACTTTGACTATTTAAGCCAGTCATATTGGTACCAAAATGAGGTTAATAAATTGATGCCCACAATCCACGTTGAGATGGTAAAGGTGGGACCTTTCTTTTTCCTCCTAGCTTGTCTCTTTTGATTTTGTCCGAATTTGTTATACATACACATATTAGTATATTATTTATACACAAATATGCATGTAAATAACTTTTGCAAAGTAATACTTATGGTTTTTTAAATAAAATTGATATTTTGCTTAAAAATTATTTCAAAAAAACAATAAAAATATCTACTTACTTTCCAAATCAAGTTTTGTGTTGTGATTTTTTTCATTGATTGACTTTTACTATTC